ATATAGAAAACATAAGAGAGAGGGAGGGGAGCTATAGAAAGGGAGACGAGAGAGTATAGAAAAAGAGGAGTGAAGCAGGGAAACAATGGCGTTTCTAGCGAAGGGTTGAAGCTTTTATAATATGTCCCCTCGACTGAAGACTATGACAAATCAATAAAACTTGCGATGGGTACATAAACCCACCGCCCTGGAATTAGGAGGATCTGGGAATACGCCACTGAGAAAATACATGTATATACAAAGAACATAGATGGCAGTGTGCCAGAACGGAGGACTGAGATGCATGAGGAGCGAGAAAACCATATAGATCAAATTAGAAAGATAATAAATGGATATCAAAATACACAGATATGTACACACCTAAACCCACGCACACACGCACACACGCACACACGCACACACGCACACACGTATTGATTGAGACCTAAATATATTAACCTTTATCTCGGTTACTGTCAAACGTTGATGTCATGTCATCAGGGGCGGCGATTTCTTTTCATGACGGGGGGGGGGGGGGTGACGAAATGCGACGGACGAGGGAGCAGTGGCGTAATGAGCAAAAAACGTTGGGGGGGGGGGCAGAAAAACCCGCATCACCACTCTTACATGTTACATGCAGGCCCCGCGGAACGGCTTTCAAAGTGGGAGAGGGGGGGGGGGGGCTAAAGTATTTACGATCAGGTAGATGCGAGAGAAGCTAGTGGAACGTAAATTGGCGTGGGGTCCAAGGGTAAAGCCACAACAGGGTCAGGGGGCATAGTCCCTTAAGCTCAGGGGTTTTAGACATTTAATAACGGTCAGATGAGCATCCAGGGGTTGCCCTAGGGCCCTTTGTGGGGTCCAGTGGGCAAAGCCCCCCGGAGCTCAGGTTGTTTTAGGCAAGAAAACTACGTTCAGATGAGCATTCAGGGACCCACCTTAAAGGGCCCTGGTAGGGTCCAGAGCCCCCGGAATCTCAGGGATAAACCATGTCATTCCAGCTATATTTGTAAATCACTGGTATCGAATTAAAAATAAACCACGATTGAATCTTATTAGGGGGAAACTGCTCACCAAGCCCCCTTGCACTCTTGGACCCTCCTGAGCCTAAAAGTTTGTTGCAGTCTTTAGTCAGTATTTGCTATACACTTCTGTGTGTGCACTTTTTCAACTTCTCCGGGAGGGGGGGGGGGTGGACGATCCACCCTAAACAAAAATTGAGGGGGGACGTGTCCCCCCTTCCCCTCGGGATAACCGCCCCTGCAATTGTTCCTCAATTGTTCATATTTATAATTGGCATTGATGCCTTTGGTTGAGCATATCGAATTTAAAACCCTCCTGTGTTTGCTTCATCCCCTTTACATTTTATTCCACCTTTAACGACAATTTTTTTCTTTTGAAATGATAAAGTTCAATACATCGTTCGGCTAGTTGTAAAGGGATCAGCCTGGAAGTCTCTTTTACTTTGTGAATTCTATTTTGTCACAAACTGATTAACAAAGAGTTTTTTCATGGAATGTAGACATGCACAATTGCACCCACTTCAGTTTTTGAAGCAATGCCCAAAGCTGGCGCCATCAGATCAAAAGGGGATTTCCAAAGAAAATTAACTCTGAAAATACTGTACGGGATTTAAGTGGAGTGTCTTTATAAAAGTGCTTTAATGGCACTGTATGGGTTATAATCACTAAACTGTGCATGAAATCACATCCAATCATGCAAAAAAAACTCATCAATTGATCTACAACAGACTTAAAAGGAGTTTTGCACTCTTTTCAAACAATGTACATATTTTCCTTTCATGATGGAATCAAAGATAATAAAGTACGGTAACCCTTGCAACAAACATCATGTAAACGGGAAATAATCATAGGTATAGCTGAATATATAGGGATCTGGCAAAGAGAAAAGGCGTGTATTATTCTGACTAGGCCAAAATTGAAAAAAAATACCTTGCAAAATATCTTTATTTACTACAGAACTTAACAGTTAGCACAATATATATTTTGCCTTTCCGTCCGAGGGGGGGGGGGGGGGGGGGGGGGGGGGGGTTGGTCCTATCTTGGATATATATTTTAAACAATACTGTCTCTTTTCTTGCTTTATCCATTCGATATATAACTATGCCCCGTGGTAAATATTGATATATATTGACAAATTCATGTGTACCTCAGTACAACGAAGCAGTTTAATGTTCTCAGAAAAGCTTTCCAGGCGACCTTGGCTGTAACTGGGAATTAATATATTACCCAAGGGCACTACGCGTGTTGGTTTCTTTTTTTTAACCGGGACTTCAATAAAGAAGAATTCGTAAAAATGTATTTTGCTAAGACATGCACTCTCCATAGACTCCAATGCAACGAATAAATACTGTTGACAGGAAATAATTCACCATCGTCATCTTCACCTCTATTACTGTGATCACAATAATCATTAAACTATTGAACACATCATCATCGTCGTCATCGATAATATTACAAGAACGATTAACTTCAGTCGGACTTTTTTCCTCACCTTCACCCTATTATCATTGCCATATCTAGTGCCATAATCAGTTTTTTATGACGGTAGGAGTGCATTACGCAGTGCTTCTCAAGGGGGACATCTTGATGTCACCAAATATCGGATCAGTCATGGAGCTGAGGCGAATAGGGGAAAGGAAAACGGTTCGACTGCATTCAACCGTGCTGCTCAGAACCGTCATCTTGATGTTAATATTTGCTTTTTTCATGAGTAATTCAACTGTTTAAGGACATGAATCAGCGTCCTCCAAGCATAGTTAGTATTTTAATTATTTTTTATAGTAAGAAACATCAGTAGGGGCCAAAATTATGCTTCTTTAATACGAGTTGTATCATAAAATATTTCCCTCCTTGAATTTTTTTCTACGTAGTCTCAGTGAATGTATGTCTCTGTGAAAAGACGAATAGTACAAACGTTTCAACCCTTTTAATTCATATTTATTGAAATGTTGATTTTAAAAAAAAAAAGAGAAAGAGAGAAGCCAAACAACGGAATTGGAATAATAGAACGTTGAATAATTGCATTACGATTTAGTTTACTGCACAGGACTTTGGAACTTGACGAAAACGACAAAAATGACAATTGCACATTGCGGTTAAGAATTTTTAAACAAATAAAAAATCAGTATAGAGTATGCTTATGCTCTTAACATACAACATGCGACTGGACTATCTGCTACGAAAGGTTATTTCGTGAATTCTATTTAGTCAGAAACTGAATAACAGAGAGGTTATGATTTATGGAGTGGACACATGCACAATGGACGTACCCACTTCAGTTTTTGAAGCGATGCTAACAAAAGGCGCCATTAGATAAACACGGGATTCCCAAAGAAAATTAACTCTAAGTATACTGAGCAAAATAATGTACGGGATGTACGTGGAGTGTCTGTATAAAAGAGCTTACTTGGCACTGTATGGGTTATAATCACAAAACTGTGCATGAAATCACATCCAATCATGCACAAAACTCAATTGATCTACAACAGACTTGAATGGTGTTTTGCACTCTTTCCAAACAATGTACATATCTTCCTTTCATGATGGAATCATAGACAATAAAGTACCGTTACCCTTTACTGAGATGCAACACACATCATGTAAGCGGGAATTAATCAACTCTTCAAGGGTGAAGCTGAATATATCGGTATTTGGCAAAGGGAAAAGACGTATTTTATTCTGACCATATCAACATTAAAAAATCCCTTAGGGGGGATGATCCCTTCTTGGATTTATATTATATATTGGATATAGATATATATCGCTTTCATTGCTTTATCCATTCGATGTTTAACTATGCACCGTGATAAATATTAATATATATTGACAAATTCATGTGTTCCTCAGTCCAACGAAGCAGAAAAACTGTCCAGGTGACCTAGGCTGTAACTGGGAATTAATGTATTACCCAAGGGCATTACACCATGTCGACTTCATTTCAACCGGGACTTCTATAAAGAAGACTTCGTAAAAAAGTATTTTGTTAAGTCATGCCATCTTCATGGACTGCAATGCGATGGATAAAGACTGTTGACTGGAAATAATTCACCATCATCATCTTCACCTCCATTACTGTGATCACCATAATCATTAAAATACTGAACACATCATCACCGTCGTCGTCGTCATCGATAATATTACAAGAATGATTAGCTTCTGTCGGATTTTTGTCCTCACCTTCACCGCATTATCATTACCATACCTAGTGCCATAGTCAGAGTTAGTATTTGCTTTTTCATGAGTAATTCAACTATTAAAGGATACGAATCAGCGCCCTCCACGCATAGTTAATATTCTAAGTATTTTGTAGTAAGATACATCAGTAGGGGGTAAAATTTTGCTTCTATATTAAGAGTTGAGTCATAAAACATTTCCCTACTTAGAAAATGTTTCTTCGTAGTCTCATATAAATGTATGTCACCGTGAAAAGACGAATAGAACAAACGTTTCAACCCTTTATTTTAGAAGGAAAAGAAAGGAGGGGGTGGGAAATGCACTTTCTATGTATTTATTGAAATGTTGATGATTACTGATTGTTCATGAAAAAGAAGAAAAAGAGAAAGAGAGAAGCCAAACAATCGAACGGGCATGACAGATATTTTCATTACGATTTAGTTCACTGCACAGGACTTTGGAACTTGTTGAAAACGAAAACAAAATGACAATGGCACATTGCGGTTATGAATTTGTAAAAAGAAAATCAGTATAGAGTATATTTATGCTCTTAACATGCAAAGTGCAACCGGACTATCTGCTACGAAAGGTTTAGATTCTTAATCGCAACATTTCGTAGTCGAGCGTAATGAGATTAGTAGACGATTACAAAAACTGTGCTAGATTAGGAAGTCTGATCAACCGATGCTTCTTCAAGTATGGATGACATAAATCAACAGCTTCATGAGGCAGCATTTAGGGGTAAAATCAAAAGCGTTGAAAAACTGCTAAAACGGGGTTCCGACATAAACCACACAGACCAAGATGGAAACACAAGTTTACATAATGCGGTAAAGAAAGACCGTAGAACAGTCACTAAGTATCTCATAAACCAAGGTGCTGATGTTGAGAAGACGACTACAGATGGACAAACACCCTTACATCTTGCTGTATCACTCGGACGTCTTAAATCAACGAAAATAATACTTAGTCATGGAGCAAATGTGGAAAAAGAAGACAAGGACGGCTACACTGCATTATACAGCGCTGTAAGGAATGGTCATCTTGATGTCACCAAATATCTGATCAGTAAAGGAGCAGAGGTGAATAAGGTAAATGATGAAGGTATGACCGCATTACACGGTGCTGCTATCAATGGTCATCTTAAAATAGTGAAATATCTCATCAGCCAAGGAGCTGAGGTGAATAAGGGAGATAACCATGGTTGGACTGCATTAAATCTTGCCGCTGAAAAGGGTCATCTGGATGTCATTAAATATCTCATCAGCCAAGGAGCTGAGGTGAATAAGGGTAATAATGACGGTAGAACAGCGTTTCGACTTGCTGCTGGGAATAGCCATCTTGATGTCACGAATTATCTCATCAGCCAAGGAGCAGAGGTGAATAGGGGAGATAATGACGGTTGGACTGCATTACACCTTGCTGCTGGAAAGGGGAATCTTGATGACACCAAATATCTCATCAGCCAAAAAGCTGAGGTGAATAAGGGAGGTAAAAACGGTTCGACTGCATTAAACCTTGCTGCTCAGGAGGGTCATCTTGATGTCACCAGGTATCTCATTAGCCAAGGAGCTGAGGTGAATAGGGGAGATAATGACGGTTGGACTGCATTAAACTTTTCTGCTCAGGAGGGTCATCTTGATGTCACCAATTATCTCATTAGCCAAGGAGCTAAGGTAAATAAGGGAAGTAATGTGGGTCGGACTGCATTACACCTTGCTGCTGGAAAGGGTCATCTTGATGTAACTAAATACCTCATCAGTCAAGGAGCTGAGGTGAATAAGGGAAGTAATGACGGTTGGAATGAATTAAACCTTGCTGCTCAGGAGGGTCAGCTTGATGTCATCAAATATCTTATTAGCGTAGGAGCTGAGGTGAATAAGGAAGGTAAAAACGGTTCGACTGCATTAAACCTTGCTGCTCAGGAGGGTCATCATGATGTCACCAATTATCTCATTAGCCAAGGAGCTGAGGTGAATAAGGGAAACAATGTGGGTAGGACTGCATTACACCTTGCTGCTGGAAAGGGTCATCTCGATGTTACCAAATATCTCATCAGCCAAGGAGCTGAGGTGAATAAGGGAGATAATCATGGTTGGACTGCATTAAATCTTGCCGCTGAAAAGGGTCATCTGGATGTCATTAAATATCTCATCAGCCAAGGAGCTGAGGTGAATAAGGGTAATAATTACGGTAGAACAGCGTTTCGACTTGCTGCTGGGAATAGCCATCTTGATATCACGAATTATCTCATCAGCCAAGGAGCAGAGGTGAATAGGGGAGATAATGACGGTTGGACTGCATTACACCTTGCTGCTGGAAAGGGGAATCTTGATGACACCAAATATCTCATCAGCCAAAAAGCTGAGGTGAATAAGGTAAATGATGAAGGTATGACCGCATTACACGGTGCTGCTATCAATGGTCATCTTAAAATAGTGAAATATCTCATCAGCCAAGGAGCTGAGGTGAATAAGGGAGATAACCATGGTTGGACTGCATTAAATCTTGCCGCTGAAAAGGGTCATCTGGATGTCATTAAATATCTCATCAGCCAAGGAGCTGAGGTGAATAAGGGTAATAATGACGGTAGAACAGCGTTTCGACTTGCTGCTGGGAATAGCCATCTTGATGTCACGAATTATCTCATCAGCCAAGGAGCAGAGGTGAATAGGGGAGATAATGACGGTTGGACTGCATTACACCTTGCTGCTGGAAAGGGGAATCTTGATGACACCAAATATCTCATCAGCCAAAAAGCTGAGGTGAATAAGGGAGGTAAAAACGGTTCGACTGCATTAAACCTTGCTGCTCAGGAGGGTCATCTTGATGTCACCAGGTTTCTCATTAGCCAAGGAGCTGAGGTGAATAGGGGAGATAATGACGGTTGGACTGCATTAAACTTTTCTGCTCAGGAGGGTCATCTTGATGTCACCAATTATCTCATTAGCCAAGGAGCTAAGGTAAATAAGGGAAGTAATGTGGGTCGGACTGCATTACACCTTGCTGCTGGAAAGGGTCATCTTGATGTAACTAAATACCTCATCAGTCAAGGAGCTGAGGTGAATAAGGGAAGTAATGACGGTTGGAATGAATTAAACCTTGCTGCTCAGGAGGGTCAGCTTGATGTCATCAAATATCTTATTAGCGTAGGAGCTGAGGTGAATAAGGAAGGTAATGACGGTTCGACTGCATTAAACCTTGCTGCTCAGGAGGGTCATCATGATGTCACCAATTATCTCATTAGCCAAGGAGCTGAGGTGAATAAGGGAAACAATGTGGGTAGGACTGCATTACACCTTGCTGCTGGAAAGGGTCATCTCGATGTTACCAAATATCTCATCAGCCAAGGAGCTGAGGTGAATAAGGGAGATAATCATGGTTGGACTGCATTAAATCTTGCCGCTGAAAAGGGTCATCTGGATGTCATTAAATATCTCATCAGCCAAGGAGCTGAGGTGAATAAGGGTAATAATGACGGTAGAACAGCGGTTCGACTTGCTGCTGGGAATAGCCATCTTGATGTCACGAATTATCTCATCAGCCAAGGAGCAGAGGTGAATAGGGGAGATAATGACGGTTGGACTGCATTACTCCTTGCTGCTGGAAAGGGGAATCTTGATGTCACGAATTATCTCATCAGCCAAGGTGCAGAGGTGAATAGGGGAGATAATGACGGTTGGACTGCATTAAACTTTTCTGCTCAGGAGGGTCATCTTGATGTCACCAATTATCTCATTAGCCAAGGAGCTAAGGTAAATAAGGGAAGTAATGTGGGTCGGACTGCATTACACCTTGCTGCTGGAAAGGGTCATCTTGATGTAACTAAATACCTCATCAGCCAAGGAGCTGAAGTGAATAAGAGAGATAATTACGGTTGGACTACGTTTCGACTTGCTGCTGGGAATAGCCATCTTGATGTCACGAATTATCTCATCAGCCAAGGAGCAGAGGTGAACAGGGGAGATAATGACGGTTGGACTGCTTTACACTTTGCTGCTGAAAAGGGTCATCTCGATGTTACCAAATATCTCATCAGCCAAGGAGCTGAAGTGAATAAGAGAGATAATTACGGTTGGACTGCATTCAATCTTGCAGCTGAAAAGGGTCATCTGGATGTCATTAAATATCTCATCAGCCAAAAAGCTGAGGTGAATAAGGGAGGTAACAACGGTTCGACTGCATTAAACCTTGCTGCTCAGGAGGGTCATCTTGATGTCACCAGGTATCTCATCAGTCAAGGAGCTGAGGTGAATAGGGGAGATAATGACGGTTGGACTGCATTACACAGTGCTGCTTTAAATGGTCAGCTTGATGTCATCAAATATCTTATTAGCGTAGGAGCTGAGGTGAATAAGGAAGGTAAAAACGGTTGGACTGCATTAAACCTTGCTGCTGAAAAGGGTCATCTGGATTTCATTAAATATCTCATTAGCCAAGGAGCTGAGGTGAATAAGGGTAATAATGACGGTAGAACAGCGTTTCGACTTGCTGCTGGGAATAGCCATCTTGATGTCACGAATTATCTCATCAGCCAAGGAGCAGAGGTGAATAGGGGAGATAATGACGGTTGGACTGCATTACACCTTGCTGCTGAAAAGGGGAATCTTGATGACACCAGATATCTCATCAGCCAAAAAGCTGAGGTGAATAAGGGAGGTAAAAACGGTTGGACTGCATTAAACCTTGCTGCTCAGGAGGGTCATCTTGATGTCACCAATTATCTCATTAGCCAAGGAGTTGAGGTGAATAAGGGAAACAATGTGGGTAGGACTGCATTACACCTTGCTGCTCGAAATGGTCATCTCGATGTTACCAAATATCTCATCAGCCAAGGGGCTGAGGTGAATAAGGGAGATAATCATGGTTGGACTGCATTAAATCTTGCCGCTGAAAAGGGTCATCTGGTTGTCATTAAATATCTCATCAGCCAAGGAGCTGAGGTGAATAAGGGTAATAATGACGGTAGAACAGCGTTTCGACTTGCTGCTGGGAATAGCCATCTTGATGTCACGAATTATCTCATCAGCCAAGGAGCAGAGGTGAATAGGGGAGATAATGACGGTTGGACTGCATTACACCTTGCTGCTGAAAAGGGTCATCTCGATGTTACCAAATACCTCATCAGCCAAGGAGCTGAAGTGAATAAGAGAGATAATTACGGTTGGACTACGTTTCGACTTGCTGCTGGGAATAGCCATCTTGATGTCACGAATTATCTCATCAGCCAAGGAGCAGAGGTGAATAGGGGAGATAATGACGGTTGGACTGCTTTACACTTTGCTGCTGAAAAGGGTCATCTCGATGTTACCAAATATCTCATCAGCCAAGGAGCTGAAGTGAATAAGAGAGATAATTACGGTTGGACTGCATTCAATCTTGCAGCTGAAAAGGGTCATCTTGATGTCACGAATTATCTCATCAGCCAAGGAGCAGAGGTGAATAGGGGAAATAATGACGGTTGGACTGCATTACACCTTGCTGCTGGAAAGGGGAATCTAGATGACACCAAATATCTCATCAGCCAAAAAGCTGAGGTGAATAAGGGAAGTAAAAACGGTTTGACTGCATTACACCTTGCTGCTGGAATAGGTCATCTTGATGTCACCAAATACCTCATCAGTCAAGGAGCTGAGGTGAATAAGATAAATAATGACGGATGGACTGCATTAAACTTTGCTGTTCAGAAGGGTCATCTTGATGTCACCGATTATCTCATCAGCCAAGGAGCTGAGGTGAAAAAAGACAGATGTACAGAATTAAAACTTGCTGCTCAGGAGGGTCATTTTGATTATCTCATCAGCCAAGGAGCTGAGATGAATGAGGGAAATAATGACGGATGGACTGCATTAAACCTAGCTGCTCAGAAGGGTCATTTTGATGTCACCGATTATCTCATCAGCCACGGAGCTGAGGTGAATAACGAAGATAATGACAGTAGGACAGCGTTTTATCTGGCCTCTGAGAATGGTCATCTTGATGTCACCAAATATCTGATCAGTCAAGGAGCTGAGGTGAATAGGGGAACGGATAACGGTTGGACTGCATTACACAGTGCTGCTGGGAATGGCCATCTTGATGTCACCAAATATTTCATTAGCCAAGGAGCTAAGGTGAATGAGGGAAATAATGTGGGTAGGACTGCATTACACCTTGCTGCTGGAAAGGGTCATCTTGATGTCACCAAATATCTGATCAGTCAAGGAGGTGAGGTGAATGAGGAAGATAGTGATGGTAGGACTGCAATACACCATGCTGTTCAGAATGGTTTCATTGATGTTGTTAAATTCCTTATAGCAGGAGGAGCACATTTTGACATAGGAGACATTCACGGCCAGACTCCTCTACATCTGTCTTTAAACCTCGGATATGAAAGTATTGCTGATCTATTAATGGACCGTTCTAATTCCAAGGTAAGCATTTATAAATTATGTATTTATGTCAACCTTATCTACCTCAAAGTTTTCAATACATGCATGTAAAACAACCTGTACTGAAATTTAATTTAGAGCATATAATGCATTGGCTACCTATCAATATTTTTCAGACATGAACAGCTCGAGGCTGATTTACTTTCTTTGTATCACCACTAATAATCATATATATTTACAACTCTAGTTAGACCTCATTGCTGTTTCATAGACTTCAAAGACAAGTTACAAGTAATCGAATCATTTGATTACTTGATCACCTGTCAATACATGTAATTATTTGTTATCCTCAATTTTAATGCTGCGTATTTCTTATATCCAGCTCGAACAGAATGATTTAACGGATATTCATCTTGCCATCCTTCACGGTCACACCTCTACCATTGAGAAGTTAGTTTCTGAGGGAGCTGATCTTAATATCCAGTCACCTGACGGACAGCAGTGTCTCCATACAGCCATTAAACTCTGCTTTAACAGCGAGAAAATTGTGCAAGAAACTGACACACTAAGAAAGGTGAGTCATACCCCAGAAACGCCAACGAGACCGACACCAGACCGACAAGAGGATATAAAAAACAAATTATATTCTTGCAAAATAATGGTCAGTGTACATGGAGTCGTTATGGCAGTGTAACTGGCATATGCTGCTCCTCTAATTCTTTAGTGAATCATAGAATCTGATACCCATGACTGACAAAAGAAAATATTGGTGTCTGGGCGTGTGATTGTGTGTGTGGGTAACTTTACAATTTCAATAGGAATTTCCAATACTGTGAATCCAAGAGGCAGCGTTAGACTTTATTTATCTACCCTGGCTATTGATTGATGATACTGTTCTAATATATATTTTTTCTTTTAATGTTTCAGATCTCTGATGAGCATTACAAAGGCGAACTTTCTCCTGAGAAGGCCTTGGTGTTTTATCTCCTAGAGAATGGAGCAAAGTTAGATGTGAGGGACACGACAGGCAATCTACCAATCCAATATGCCAAGGACGAAGTAGTCAAACAGATGATTTTTTCGAGGTGATATACTTTTAAGTCTAAAAGAATAATATTTTGTCCCCGCCAGTTGTAAAATAAACAATTTATCAAAACCTAAGGAAATAATGCATTCGTTTATCTTCCACTGTTGAGATTTGGTAAAAGAATGGATTAGAAAGTCTAGCCTTATTGACAATCTTAACAGTTGATTATAAATTGTACATTTTGTGACGATTGTGACTATTAATTTGTTCGGGGATACTACTTGTTATGTTTTTATCTACTCAAATAGTCAGTATATATGTATATATACAAATATTAATATACTATTTTGTTAACAAAATTCGTTTAGAAGAAATCTGTCAATGACAGATCACCTATTGTTTTCGTCAGAATTTTCTTTCTTTATTAGGTGGTCTGTCAATGACAGATCACCTATTGTTTTCGTCAGAATTTTCTTTCTTTCTTTATTTATTTATTTATTTATTTATTAGGTGGTCTGTCAAAGACAGATCACCTATTGTTTTCGTCAGAATTTTCTTTCTTTATTATTTATTTATTCTTTATTTTTATTTATTGTTCCCACTTTTTTGTTAACAGGATAACTGAAGATCGATTTATTCAATTTCGTTTAATTTTGGGACAGTCATATGTCATTGTCATAAGACGTGACAGTAACATTTTCAAGGTCATCAAGTCTTCATGACGTCATCCAGGCGCCATTTTGTGTTTTTTGGGGTACTTTTTACTCATGATCGTATCTTCATAACGAAAAAAGTATTTCTCATTCATATTTATCATGATTAAGGTCAATATCCGTCCGGTCAATTTCAGGTCAGAAAACGCGCGCGCAAAAAATAAAATTGCTCAAAATCGTCCCAAATTCATTTTGCATACGTTTTAGGGCATTTTAAGCATTTTGCAAAAAAACGCGCGCACGCACATGCGCGCGCGTTTTCGCGCGTACTGGTATTTTTCAACTTAGAATCGCCAAATTTTCTCTGTCATCATATTTGGCACATTTTCCCAAGCATTTTGATACCTTGTTCACCTTTTTCTGCCCATTAATAACGGAATGAGCGTCCGTTTGAGATAATTTCCGTGCGTGCGAGCTCTTGTAATACATAGCATACATGGGCAAAAACATGCCTATACAAAATCCATTGTAGCCCTTAAGGATGCAAGATGAACCCAATTTTGTTTTCATATTTTGATAGAGTATGAATTGGAGATATGATTTCATGTCTCATTTGACCCTCAATTAACTCATGACGTCATCATAATGGCCTCCGAACTCAAAATTTCAATTTGCATATTATGACGTCATCATATTTTTAGAAAATTGATTGTATCTCTGTAAATATTGATCAATTTTCATCCAAATTTTGATATGTTTTAGCTGAGACAATTCTCTATAAATGTAGTCCACATAAATTTTCATTTTGACGAAAGCATCATGGGGTATTTTTGTGATTAAAGGAGGCATGTCAATTTTTTGCATTTTGCGTGTATTATTTATGGGACATGACTTTTTCTGAAAACTGGATTCTACATTCCCGTCTTTCACGAGCTATATCTCCGTCGTCTTAGCTTCATTTTCGCTGAGCATCGAGTATGTTGTAGCTGAGACAATAAGCTATCACAAGTGTGCCCTTTATTTTTCGATCAGATGCCGGGATCATGCTCATATTTCACTTACAAAGTGGGATTTGATAATTCCATTTTCCGTTTACGTGTAATCTCTATGGGAAATGTTTTGGTATATCGGTAACGCACTTGACTTCCGACCTCGAGATCCCTGGTTCGAGTCCGGGCGTCTCCAACAATTTTTTTTTCTTCACTTTTTTTCTTTTTGACCTTTCACTCTACCATCTCCTTTGAATATTAAAACACGTACAATCGCAAATAATGTAATAAACAACCATATTTACTTTATTATTACCCTATTATCACTAGATCCATTACTTTTGGCGTGTAATCCTTATGGAAGATGACTTTTTCTCAAATCTGGATTCTACATTCTTGTCTTTTGCGAGCAAAATCGCCGTTATTTCGGCTTGGTTTTTGTTGATTTTTGAGTATGTTGTAGCTGAGACTATACGCTATCTAAATGTTCTCTAATTTTGTTCAGTCTGATGTCATCGTGGTCTGTTGATGATAATCATCAACATCATCATGATCATGATCATCATCATCATCGTCATCACCATTACTATCAAGATCATCATCATGATCATCATGATAATCATCATTGTTTACATGTCTATATAACTTCTCCCTTTCTCAATATAGTAAATATTATAATCTCTCATAAGACTTGAAGACAGACCACCTAATTCGTCCCCATGACGAATTAAATTTCTAGTTTATTATTTATTTTTATTTATTTCTTCACACTTTTTTGTTCACAGGATAACTCAAGATCGGTTCAATCAATTTCCTTCAATTTTGGCACAGTCATAGGTCATTGTCATGAGACGTGACAGTAACATTTTCAAGGTCATCAAATTTTTATGACGTCATCCAGGCGCCATTTTGTGTTTTTTATGGTACTTTTTACTAAAGATCACATCCCCATAACGGAAAAGCATTTCTCATTCATATTTATCATGATTAAAGTCAATATCCGTCCGGTCAATTTCAGGTCAAAAAACGCGCGTGCATGCGTACGTCCGAGCGTGAGCGCGCGCGCAAAAATTCAAAATGCTCAAAATCATATCAAATTAATTTTGCATACGTTTTAGGCCATTTTAAGCATTTTGCACAAAAAAACGCGCACACGCGCATGCGCGCGCGTTTTCGCGCGTACTGGTATTTTTCAACATAGATTCGCCAATTTTTCTCTGTCATCATACTTGGCACATTTTTTCAAGCACTTTGATACCTTGTTCACCTTTTTCTGACCATAAATAACGGAATGAGCGTCCGTTTAAGATAATTTCCGTGTGTGCGAGCTCTTGTTATACATAGCATACATGGGCAAAAAACATGCCTATACAAAATCCATTGTAGCGCTTTAGGATGGAAGGTGAACCCATTTTTTTTCCCGTATTTTGATAGAGTATGAATTGGAGAAATGATTTCATGTCTCATTTGACCCTCAATTAACTCATGACGTCATCATAATGGCCTCCCAACTCAAAATTTCAATTTGCATATTATGACGTCAGCATATTTCTGGAGAATTGACTGTATCTCTGTAAATATTGATCGATTTTCTTCCAAATTTTGATATGATCTAGCTGAGACAATTCTCTACAAATGCAGTTGCCACAATATTTCATTTTGACAAAGGTATCATGGCGTATTTTTGCGATTAAAGGTGGCATGTCAATTTTTCACATTTTGCGTGTATTCTCTATGGGACATGACTTTTTCTCAAATCTGGATTCTACATTCCCGTCTTTCACGAGCAATATCTCCGTCGTCTTAGCTTGGTTTTTGCTGAGCATCGAATATGTTGTAGCTGAGACAATAAGCTATCACAAGTGTGCCATTTATTTCTCGATCAAATGCCGGGATCATGCACATATTTCACTTGCAAAGTGGGATTCGAGAATTTCATTTTCCGTTTACGTGTAATCGCTATGGGATGTTTTGGTATATCGGTAACGCACTTGACTTCGGACCTTGAGGTCCCTGGTTCGAGTCCGGGAGTCTCCAATAATTTTTTCTTCATTTTTTTTCTTTTTTGACTTTTCAATGATCATAAAATTGAAAACAGACCACCTAATTCGTCCCCATGACGAATTAAATTTCTAGTTAGGTGGTCTGTCAACGACAGATCACCTATTGTTTTCGTCAGAATTTTCTTTCTTTATTTATTTATTATTAGGTGGTCTGTCAACGACAGACTACCTATTGTTTTCGTCAGAATTTTCTTTCTTTATTTATTTATTCTTTATTTTTATTTATTTCTTCACACTTTTTTGTTCACAGGATAACTCAAGATCGGTTCAATCAATTTCCTTCAATTTTGGCACAGTCATAGGTCATTGTCATGAGACGTGACAGTAACATTTTAAAGGTCATCAAATCTTCATGACGTCATCCAGGCGCCATTTTGTGTTTCTTTTGGTACTTTTTACTCATGATCATATCTTCATAACGGAAAAGAATTTCTCATTCATATTTATCATGATTAAGGTCAATATCTGTCCGGTCAATTTCAGGTCAAAAAACGCGCGCGCATGCGTACGTCCGCGCGTCAGTCCGCGCGCAAAATTTCAAAATGCTCAAAATCATATCAAATTAATTTTGCATACGTTTCAGGCCATTTTAAGCATTTTGCAAAAAAAACGCGCACACGAGCATACGTGCGCGTTTTCGCGCGTACTTGCATTTTGCAACGTAGAATCGCCAAATTTTCTCTCTCATCATATTTGGCACAATTTTTCAAGCATTTTGATATCTTGTTCACCTTTTTCTGACCATTAATAACGGAATGAGCGTCCGTTAAGATACGCATCCGTGCGTGCGAGCTCTTGTAATACATAACATACATGTGCAAAAACATGCCTATACAAAATTCATTGTAACTCTTTAGAATGGATAGATACCCCCAATTTTGTTTTATATTTAGATAGATTATGAGTCGGAGATATGATTTCATGTCTCATTTGACCCTAAATTAACTCATGACGTCATCATAATGGCCTCCGAACTCAAAATTTCAATTTGCATATTATGACGTCAGCAGATTTTTGTAAAATTGATTGTATCTCTGTAAATATTGATCAATTTTCTTTCAAATTTTGATATGTTCCACTTGAGAATATTCTCTACAAATGCAGTTGCCACGATATTTCATTTTGACAATGGTATCATGGCGTATTTTTGCGATTAAAGGAGGCATGTCAATTTTTTACATTTTGCGTGTATTCTCTATGGGACATGACTTTTTCTCAAAACTGGATTCTACATTATCGTCTTTCGCGAGCAATATCTCCGTCGTTTTATCTTTGTTTACGCTGAGCTTTGAGTATGTTGTAGCTGAGACAATAAGCTATCACAAGTGTGCCCTTTATTTTTTGATCAGATGCCGGGATCATGCTCATATTTCACTTACAAAGTGGGATTTTAGAATTCCATTTTCCGTTTACGCGCACGTTTGTGTTCGTAATGGTCGTACGCAACCTAGAATCTCCCTTTTTTGTTTATCATAGTATTGCCCATTTTATTCCGAACAATTTGATACCATGTTTATCTCTTTATGACCATTAATAACGAAATGAGCGTCCGTTTAAGGTAAATTCCGTTCGAACACTCAAATTAACTCGTGACGTATTTATGATGGCCTCTGTTCAAGGTAAATGTCCGATTGTGCGAGCTCTTGTAATACATATCTCGATAACGAGTCATCAAAAATAAACCATTTTTGGTATACATCAACTTCAGGTCAAAGGTCAACTAAAAATGTCAACAAATTCCGCGCGCGCACCTCGACGCGCACGTACGCGCGCATCAAAATTTTATAATGCTCCGATTCGTTAAAAATTAATTTTGCATATGTTTCAAGCCATTTTAAGCATTTTGCAAAAAAAAACGCGCACACGCGCATACGTGCGCGTTTTGGCACGTACTTGCATTTCGCAACGTAGAATCGCCAA